TTTCTGCTAGAGTTACTGTTGTCTTTAAAAACATAAAAAAAATCGTACAAATACCATAGGATCGGTATAGTAGAAAATTTTGGTGGTTTTAAAACCTTGACTTTTCCAAACCGCTGCATGTAGAGTACTTAGTGAACAGCAGATAAAGAAATGTTGAGGCTGAACGCTTCATTCTCCCGAAGTACCTCACAGATGGTATTGTGAGATATGACTCTTTGATTTAAGTGATTGCGGTTATTTCCTCTGTTTGCTGTCATCAGCACAGTGATTACAGTTAAATGTGCTGTTCTTTCCCCTGATGTACATCCTGAAGAATTCCGTAACCAGAATTGCACAAGGCCTTCTGTTAATACATTATGCAAGATTATAATGCTTATCTAATTATCTGAAACCCTATTCACAAGGGCCTTCATTACCGGATCCCTCATAATGCTCGGTGGCAGAGCAGTAAAATGCATTAATGCTGGATTTGTGCAGAGCTATTATCTCTGTTAAATCCAAGTTTCTTGATTTTACAGTGCACTGATGCAGCTAATAAAAGCAATATGCGGATAAGCTGTTCAGCTGTTTACAACTAATAAGCATTTGTCAGTAATTTACTGAGTTTTTAGTTAAAATGTCTAGGTAAGTCAACTCAAAAAGAGTTTCCATCCTTAACTTTTGATTCTGTTGATATTTTCTTTCTAAAACAAAAAGAAAACAAGACATAGAATGTGATGACAGCCAAAATTCTAAAGTAATACATTATTAAGTAAGGGGGTCAAATCATTATTATTTGTCTTAAATTAGATACAGTCATGTCTCACAGAGTATGGAAGATCTGTTAAAACAAACATTTGATTTTAGCCATCTTTGTTGCATTGTCTATCGTCTCTGTTGCGGTTGGTGATTCTTTAAAAATAGGGAAAAAGTGTGTCTTGTTAGGTTTGTCGCGATACCATTAAGTCATCTTATGATACTATTAGGGCTGCCTCGATTTTAGGAAAAATCATAATAGCGATTATTTTGGTCATAATTGTAATCATGTGTAACGGTGGCCTTTTCTTAAACCCCAAATAGGTAATATTTAGCTTTTTGTTCGGGTGCCAGACAGAATAAATCCGTCAATATATTACAAATTTAACTTTAACCCAGATAGCAATAAGCCACCGACTACAAACTAAACTAAACATAACACACAAAAATACACAATTTTACACAAATTCACCAATTGAGTATGCATAGAAATATTTATTTTTTTTATCACTGAAATATCACTACCAATAGATCACTCAAAAGCACAATTGAAAATAAACAGCTTTATGAAACATGATGATTAATTTATACCACACTCACAGAAGAATTTATCCACTGCAATCACAACCATAATCAGTATTTACTAAGTGAAAGACAGCAGTGAGCATTTCATCAATATACAAGAACAAACCCCATGGAAGTTACACCCCTTACAATCATTGGCTCTCTGGCCATTCAAAGGTAAACCACATATAAACTTAATTCACGGAAACATAGTTCAGTTCAGTCATTATTCAAAACGATTACTGTTAAAGTCAAAATTATTAGCGCTCCTGAGAGTTTTTTTAAATAAAAATTTCCCAAATGATTTTTAACAGAGCAAGTTTTAACAGTATTTCCTATAATATTTTTTCTTCTAGGCTTATTTGTTTTATTGGCTAGAATAAAAGCAGGTTTAAATATTTTGAAACCTTTTTCAGGTCAATATTATTAGCCCCTTTGGGCAATATACATTTTTTATTGTCTGCAGAAGAAACTACTGTTATACAATGACTTGCCTAATTACCCTAATTAAGCCTTTGAATTTGAATGCTTGTATTTTAAAAAATATCTAGTCAAAATCAAATATTATGTGCTGTCATCTTAGCAAAGATAAAAGAATAGTTATTAGAAATGAGTTATTAAAACTATTATGTTTAGAAATTTGTTGAAAAAAAATTCTTCTTTCCAATAAACAGAAATTGGGGGGAAAAGGGTTGCTAATATTCAGGAGGGTTAATAATTCTGACTTCAACTGCATATATACAGTTATTTATTTCTCTGCAAAGGAAAGAAAAATAAATACAATAGAATAAAAATATCTCCATCACCATCTTCACTTTAAGAAAAACACGTTAGCTACAAAAATCCTTCAGTCGAGAGCAACGAGGGATTTTCTCCTTTTGTTATTTGATTAATAATGATAAAAACAGGTGGCAGTAGGCTTTGCGCACTGTCATTTTAATGGTTTCACTTTCACGTTTCGTTTGATCCACAACTTGTTTGTTTATTACACAAATGAGGGTTAATATGAATAATCACAAAACACCGCGTTTTAATACCTATTCGACCATTAAAGCGCTCAAGTTAAGATGACTTTAGATGCTCTGCTTGTCTTTGTGTGCGAATGAGACCGAATGCTGACGGTGCACACACACACACACACACACACACACACACACACACACACACACACACAGGAGCATGCAGTTTAGTTTGCGCTTTTAAGAGCAACAAACTGGAAACTGGAAAGGAGGTGCTAAATAAAGGAATAATAGTTTATCTCGATTAATAGTTTTTCATAATCGTTAGAAGGCAAAATCGAAATCGGATTTTCGATTAATTGCAAAGCCCTAGATACTATACTAACTGATGTTTTACAATACCAAGTAGTATTGTAATACTTTAATTCATAATTCAAATTATAAAGAAAATTGTCAGAAATACTATATTTTACATGTTATAATCGGTCTACTTAAATTTCATTCATAATTCCTTTATTATTGAAAAATGTATTTTTTTTGCACATCACTTTACATACATTTTTTGTTTATTTTGTAGACTGACCAACAAAAATACATTAAAATAAAGATACAAATTATAACAAATAAAATTTGTTGCAAGAAGAGCATTTTTCCAACAAAATTAGGCTATATGAACTGGTCAAAAATTGCTTCAATGTTTCCTGTTGCTATTTTGGGTTTTTAATATATTGTTTTTTTTTTTCTTTTCTTTTTTGTTGTCTTATCAGGTAAGAATCCAAAGGATTTCAAACTTTCACTTTGTGTGTCATTCTTTTTTAAAAGATTGTCACGGTTGTTGTAGCTTCTAAATCATACTGAGAGGAACAGAAATTTACAATTCAATGTGTGTTTGAAATGTCAGAAATCTTGCAACCTTAAGGGCTCCACAGACTATTAAAGTAAATGGTCTATTGTTGCACAGACATGTGAACATTTTCGTGACTTTTCCACATGCAACATTATCTATTGTAGATAGATCGTTAATGACTATACTACCATTCACAAACTATTATGGCACCGCCAGTATTTTGGTGTTCATAGTATCAAAATACTACCTTAGTACCTCAAGAAGTATTAAAAAAAACATGTTAAACACAAATTAAACTTGCTTAGACTCACTTTTGCACGATGGAAGAAGGATGACACCATGGCTGAAGTACTTCTTTTACACATGTAATGTTATGTTTAAAAACTATTTTAGTCACAGAAAGCTTATGTAGATTTTGTTGCTTTACGAATGGGTTATACTGCACGTGCTAAATACAATACAGTTTTCCGTTCGGAATTGTTGTATTATAAAGTTTTCTAACTGATGAATGATATGATCTAGTGGGATGTCTACTGTCAAAGGTGTCTACTTCAAAGGTGCAGCATGTAGAATGTAAGTATGCAATATGTAAGTTTGATACCCAGTAATGGAAATAGGTATTGCACTCAAACGCAAGCGCAGGTTCCCAGATTGATGACAGGAGTAAGTGATTTAAACCGTGTTCTAAGTAAAAGCATCAGCACATGATGGAAGTAAAATTTTCCATATTAAAAGGAGTTTTTGTTTGCTTATCACTGCGTATCTCGCACTGTTTTTAGATAATCAAGAATGTTCACTTGGCATGTTTCCTAAATATTTACAAACACGTTATGGTATTTTATGCTTAAGAAGAGTCAAAAACTTACATACATCACCTTTAATTTGCGCAGATTAATTGTTCACATAAAGAATAACACTGTTCACTAGCAAAATAAACAAAACATTTAGATTTTACACAGACTTTAAAGTGTTAGTTCACCCAAACATTTTTATTTTGTTTTTAAGAATAAAAGAGCTCTCTTGTCCTCCATATAAAATAAGGGTCTTGAGACATTCAAAGACCACAAAAGAAACCAAACACATTTTCTGTGACTTCAGTGGATCAACTTTTATCATATGAAGCTTCAAGAACACTTTTATTTGCCAGAAATGTGTAGATATGACTCTGTTCTCCTATATCTCTCCCACACTAGGTCATGGTGCATATGTTTACTATCGACATTGTATTGCCATTAAAGTCAGCATTGCAACAAACAAGTTTTGTATTGGCCTTAGTTAACACTCTCATTTATTTGAAACCCAAGATATTGTTGCACAAATGGGTTTTTAAAGCCCCATATGATTAAAGTTGAACTATTGAAGTCACATGGAATGTTCTGATTCAGGATTTAAAATGCCCCTTGACTGTTGTTGTACGGTATATGGAGGATGAGAGAGCTCTTGGGTTTCCTCTAAAATATCTTAATTTGTGTTCTGAACATGAACAGAGGTCTCGGGGGTTGGATTGACAGAAGGGTGACTAATTAACAACAGAATTGTCTTTTTTTTGGTGAACTAACTCTTTAATTGAAATGTCAATTATTAATCGTTCTCCCCTCCAGTTGTTTTACTGAGGGCGCTGGTTAAAGACGACACACGGGACTTCAAAGTAAATATGAGCAGAAATTATTGATGTCACCAATAATTACTAAGGACCTTGGTGATTTGAATCCCATTCGAGAGTGGGTTTAAGACATTACGGAGTTGTCCATTCTTGGTTTAATGACTGTGCTTTATGAAATGCAGGTGAATTCAAACGTAGATTTTCTCGTATAGCAGTGGTTGCTGGATTGGCTCCAGGGATTGCATGATGCATGCTTTCTTATCCACTTTCTCTGTGTTTTTCCCTGTTTTAGACTCCTACACACCAGCCACCCGTTCCCTTGCAGTGTGTGCGGAGAGGCTTTTATACGACGCAAAGAGCTGGACCTGCACTCTCTCATCCACCAAGGTCAGTCCACAGGAAACAATCACACTTCCAGCCTTTTGTCCTCGAGCTCTCTCATTCACACCAAAATTCTTACATTCATGCAGTTGGATTAGGCCTTTTAATTGATTCAAAATGTAATCAAATGAATTCAACAATATGCCAGTTAAATCAATGCAACTCGTATCAATAGACTGAGAAAAGCTCCCAAATGAAGACGTTTCAATGATGGTGTTTCAATGTGGCAGACAAAAGCACTGAATAAGTCTGCTGTGGGTATATAAAATTAATTATTACATTATTGTATTATGTTCTATCGCTCCTTCTTTTTCTTTTTCTTTTAAATAGTTTCTTTTCAACTTATTAGTATCGTATTGTACATTACTAGGGATGCCCAAATCAGGAATTTTGCAGCTGATACCAAGTACCGATTCCTTGTCATGGTGATCGACCGATGCAGAGTACTGATTCTGATACTTCAAACTTTATAATGCCTAAAGGACATTTTTCCGCTAAGTATGATACTTAAGTGGAGATCTCTCCTTACCTAAGAGAATACATGAAGGATGCTGCATATAATACCTTAAATATTTTATATACATTAAAAAAGTTACTGGTGAATTACTGATGTACATTAATGTTTTATATATATATATATATATATATATATATATATATATATATATATTTTTTTTTAAGCCTTAATCTCATGCGACAATACAAAACAGTGTTGCTGCTTCAGGATATTTCAGACATATGGACACATATTGGATAAGTAGAGCAAAGCCAGACAGCATGCAACTTGATCTTCTGTAGTTAAAAAAATTTGATAATAAGTGTGCAACATTTTTTAACGCTAGAAAGAATGTTTGATGCGGGAATGTAACTGACATGATATGGTGCAACGACCTCTTTAAATACGAGATCAATGTAGCGAATTTTGACGCTCTCGCCGCCGGAGCTGAAGGCAGACAGCATTGTCGCCAGGGTGGCCAGAGCGACCTTTGACGCTCTCACGTGTGTTCAGTGTGAACGCACAGTTAAAAGTGGCACTCTTTAGTTATCGTGTCTCTGTCAATCAAACCCTGATGGGTGAAAATTGCTTAAATAGTTTATTTCAACGAGGTGAGCTATTTGCACTTAGCCAAAATAGACACTCTGAAATCGGCATTCCTCATAATGCCCATTGGTTAATCCGTCCCTGCTCACTTTAGATCAGATATCACTCAGCCAGTAGAGATTGCTGATTTTTAAAGAAAACAGACCTTAGACGCGCCGATTTTGTAATGGTATGCAGTTCATTGGAAGCGCACAACCCAGGTCACTGACAAATTAAAAGTTCTTCCGCATACTTCCACATATACCCTATTGGGAGCTTCCGGGTGAGGCCATACGGCTGGATGAGACACTAAATAGCGGCGATCGCTCCGCTCGCGTCGCAGCAGCTCAAAACACTGGACATTCAATGGTTGCACTTGCAACAAAGAGATCATTTCATGAGTCATGAAATGTGATTATCGGCCGATACCGATCTTTGGCTGATCAATCGGAGCATCCCTACACGTTATTGTTGTTGTTATTATTATTATTATTATTATTTTAATATTACGTTAACACACAGATATAATTAAAAAAAACAACACATTTTGTGTAATACTTATGATTATTAATTACATTAATATTTTGATCAGTAATTATTTTCTGAATTAATGATTTAAAAATATATATATTTTATTTGAAAGGTGGAAGAAAACTGATCAGACCTTTATATAATTATAAATAATCACTTTTAACTCAGTCATACCTACTAAAAGAAACAATAATATAAAATATAATGGAAGATTAGAACAGCACTGTGATCATTTCTATTATATACAGACAATTTACAGAATTCCAAAGCTCCGTTTTGTAATTGGTATTCAATATGTATTATCTGCTAACACCAGTCATTTACAATGGATATCCCTAATACACTCACAAACTCACTTTATTAAGTGGTCAGTCTCTATTCTCCACAACTCTGTTTGTATATCTAACCACACACACATGCACGCACACACACATAAGCTCTTTGACAGACCTGTCACATGAATGAGCCTTTATTGATCGCTTCCGAGTAAATAAATGGGGTCAGAGGTCACATTGATCAGGATGGTTTGTGTGTGTGTATTGATAAGATCAGCAGCTGATCACTATCACCTCTGATCAGAGCGTCTTAAACGGATCAGTCCCTCAGTAGCTGCAGCTGTTGCTCTCTTTAGCTCAACACTGAGAGGGAACCAAAGGCTGTTTCTCAATTCCAAGAACGCAGAGAACGGACTTGCGTTCTTGTGGAGACCGGTCTTGCCAGGTGTCCTCGGAAGATCGAACTCAGGAGACCGTGAAGGCAGAGAACGCGTCCTTTGAGAAATGAGATGCTGCGTTCTTCCTGATGGTCACATGACGTTCACGTGTTTTAAATGGTAAATTATTTTAACATTATAGCACTCATACAAGGATTTATTGTTTTTCCCCTTTTCAAAATATATACTTTGCATAAAACATTATAAATATATGTTGCACAATATAAATAAAACCGATTTTAATACGAATTTCAGCAAACAAACACCCTTAATGTGTTTATTCCTTTATTAAGATGTCCATGGTAATGTTTACTCTCACCGTTTCATTTAGGGAAACTCCTGAGGTAAATAATTCATATCTATGAACTTTAATAATAAATCTAGATAAAATGCTGCGCCTCCAGTCGCAATGACTTCTGGGACTTCCAGAGCGAGTTCGGTGCTCAAGTCTGCATCGGTGCGTCCTCGATATCAAGAACACATCCGGGAAGTTTCACGCGTCCTCCGTACTTGCGGTCTTGAGTATTGGAACTGAACTTAGGCAGCTGATGATGACGTTTCACGAGAACACGAGGACGCAAGACCACTGAAGAAGGCATATTTAGAAACAGCCAACGACTTTTTTTTTTTATATCCACCATTTTCTGCTCATCACTACTAACTATTGTCAAATGATGGGTTTCACTTACAGTATAGAGGTCTTCCATTTAAAAAGAACTGATACAAATATTTTTGAATGGTAATGTTGTTTTAAACCAAACCTCATACGCCTTTTTATTTTTAGCTATCATGAAAATTATGTTATTCGGCTTTTAACAATAGTTAAAATAGACATCTAGATTAATTGAACATTTTAACTTGATTAAGATTCATGGACGATTATTTATTTATTTATTTATTTTATTTACAAGTTTTTGACATTAAATATGCTCACATATTGCAGAGATTTCTTAATGAAGGGTGCAATATTGATTTTAAAATAATTGAAGGAAACACGCAATATCCAATATCCACTACACAACGTTGAACAACTGAAATGAAAACAAACATTGCCTAAGGCCAACAGTCCCTTTTTTCTTATTAAAATGTGAAAATTAATAACATTGTAAACAAAATCAATTATTTTCAGTGTTTTTCATATTAAAAGTAGAAAATGAGCAGTATGACTTGTAAATTAAAAAACTTTTTCATATTCTGTAAATAATTATTATCTTATCATAACTTATGTAAACAAATATTTTAATATAAATAATAACTTTAATGTAATGCAAAATATGTTGTCTCAAGGCATCTCTGGCACAGCTTATAATCATCGTCAGTGAAGTGAAAAGTAAGGCTCAAAAATGGGTCCATCATCCTACTTGACTAAAGATCAGATTTGGCTGCAAAGTGGGCGCAGACGTAGAAATCAGCCACAGCCTTTAACAGAGCCGGGGTCACGTGACACATAGGGCACATAAATGAAAAAATTACCAAGGAAAAATTAGATGGATTATAGGTTCTAAATGTCGATTTTGGTTGCTTTTCGAGTAATCGCCTAGCCCTAGCTGTTTTGGTATTAAATAGAAAATTAATAGAAAAATGGTTACATAGAGAACCATGTTTTGATATTGCTAAACGGAACCTTTAAAATATTTTAATATTTGTTTAGATGTATAAAAAATTATATTTGTAATAATATTATTATTTTTCATATTATACTCATTAATATAAATATTATTTAATAACAGTAATAATAATAATAATTTGTTGTTGTTGTTTGCCTAGTCTCACATCTCGCAGGCTCTGTTATAGTAAAAAAACATTATATATACACACCCAACAGGATGCAGGGAAGGCTAAGTTCCTGTAAAATGTATTCACAATCCTCTATGACACCTTTATGTCCATTGCTATGAGTGCTATATTTTTGGAGACAATATAAGTTTTGATGAATCAATTTCAACCTCTTCCCTATTGGGAAAACCATCAAGAATGCATGATGATTTGCTGTCATGGCATTGCAATGTAAAACAAATAGGGAAAAAACGGCCACAAACAACAAAAGGGTAGTACATTTGTAAACAGTACACAAAGGTTATAACAAGCTTCTCTAAATATTGCACTATTTGCATTCGATTCAACAATCACAGAATTGCTAAATTCTGGAGGAGCTCCTCAAGAGTTGTCTGGTTTTCTATTTATCATATGTGATGGAAATTCAGCATTTTAGTTAATTGACTTAGAGAGGGAACCCTCGAGGTTCTTTGGAAAAAATAACATAGAACTAGTACTATGTGCAAAGAACATTTAAAGAAGCATCTTTTTTAGATAACAGTCATAATATTTCTGCAGAAAGACTTTCATTTTTGAGGTAATTCATGGTCATTATTAGGGATTCACGATATATCGGTGGCCATATTGATATCGGCCAATAATGCTACTTTTTCTGTTATTGTTATAGGTCTGATATCAAAATTAGGCCAATATCTATAAGCCGATAGATTACGTATATGTGTAGAACTGCCTGCCTCACGCATGCGTGGGTCAAACTTGTTCAGACTTGTCCAGTGCACTATAATGGAGCTTAACTCGCATTGTTTATTGCTTCAAAGTTTGTCCTTTCTTCATGTGGTATTGCTGTGTGTAATAACTCAAGTAAGTAACCATATCCCTCATCATCATAGATATGTTAGATAGAATGTTAGTTATCAGCCTCCAAATCTTAAGAGCTATCGGTTTTCGATACCGGCCAAAAAGTCCATATCGGTACATCCCTAGTCATTATAGTTTGTTAATTCTAATAAGTTTACTTTTGACATGTGATGGATGAACTTAACTTTACTGATGATTTACATTTCAACGGAAGTTATTCCCTATAATGCTTGCAAAGCATCATGGGGCGTAGAAAAACGGTAGATAGGAGTAAACAAGCGAGGACACAGGGTTGTTGAGCTGAAGCTTTTAAAAGCCTGTAAAGGTCAGTAAAGCTGAGTCACAGCCTGACAGTTTGAATGCTCTGCGTCTAAACATCACATCACCTGTGACCCCATAAAGCGGCGTGTTATTTGTGCGTATGCGCTGTGCATTCTGTGAAAATGTCTGTTTATCAGCTGTGAATGGTCCTCTGTAAAAGAGGCAGGTCTTTTTGTGTGCTCTCTCTCTCTCTCCCATCTGCAGCTTTTTTTAGATAAGGAGCAAACAATACATGTTTGTTTTTCCTCACTCGATAAGAAGCCAAAGAAAGTATTATTGCTGGAGTGTTTGTGAGGGAACGTGCGGATAAACATAAGTATCTCTCATGTCCGATACATCAGAAGCCAAGGACTAGAGGCTCTACATGTCTCTCCATTCCTCTATCTGAAGATAAGCACTTTTGATGCATTATATATTGTGGAGGAAGTTGGCCACTTTTAACTTGTCCTCTAGTCAAGGAGAAATGAGAAATAAGAGTAAAACTTTACTCAGAAAGTGTATGACTTTTAAGTGTTCCGTTGGCATATCTTTCTCCAATTTTTGTATTGTGTGAATTGGTTGTGAATACATAGATGAAACATGCTTCAATTGTATTTTTGAGTATTTGAGGCGTCTACAGAATTCACACCAAAGAATTTTAGCAAACATTTTTAGGAAAAACCAGTTTGTATAATGATCTTTGTTTAAAATTGGTTGAATGAAGTGTTTTATCAATGGATCAATTATGTCAAAAGTTCAATTTGACATGCCGCAGATTCAGCTTGATATTAAGAGACTAGAGCTGCACAATTAATCGTAAAAAGATTGTGATCTTGATTCGTCCCCCTAGACCAGGGGTGGGCAAACTCGGTCTTGGAGGGCCGGTGTCCTGCACAGTTTAGCTGCAACTCTAATCAAACACACCTGCTTATTGACCTTATTCTAAAATGCGGAAGTGCGCCTGCTTCGCGATTGTCTTAGAACTTCCGTTTCAGTTACCTATGGGAGAAATGACAAGGAATAATAAACGGCAAAAAAACGGTCAAACTAATTGCTCTACAAACAAATGTTTGCATGACTATACAGACCAAGTAGACTAATATAATAAGAAAATATCAGTTTGCAACATCAAACAGCGAAACGAGCAGTTTTTAATGTCTAAAAATGAATCGAAGTGAATGTGACAGGAAGTCTCGTGCCAAAAAGATTCAAATGGCAGCGCCCACTCGTCTGCGGAGAATAAGGTCAATAGATTTCTAGTGATCTTGAAGACACTGATTAGCTTGTTCAGGTGTGTTTGATTAGTGTTGGAGCTAAACTGTGTAGGACACCGGCCCTCCAGGATCGAGTTTGCCCACCCCTGCCCTAGACGATCTTAATCCAGCATTTCTACGATTCTGTCAATCATATTTTCAAGTTCAGGAGAGAAGCAAAGTCTTTTCATTCTTTCACATACATTGCTTTGTGACATGGACAACTCCAAATGATGTTAAAAGAGTTACATACTGTTTTAATTCACCTAAAAATGTCATTTTTGTTTTCATATGATTCTATATTTGAAATCACATGTTATGTGAGCTGCTGAATGTGCAGGCATGCGCCCTAATGGTAGACGCATGTGCGTCTCCTTTTGTAAACAGAACCTGCATATGCTGTGAGTAACAGGTTATAAAGTTGTAAATAATATTCAGTTTGTGGCACAGAGTGACGCGAAGTATAAACAGCACTTAGCAGGGAAAATGAAACCGAAATCGTGCACATCATTTAAATAATCATATCGCATTTTAGAGTTATGACTGCGACAAGCATTTGATGTTTTTTCTTTCATAGCGAACACAGAGTTGTGCATGAGAATAAATGTTTACAGTGTCAGTATACCTACTCTAGCCTATATAATGCTGATTTTACCAGTGAATTTAATAGTATAGTAATGTTGCCGATGACAGATTGCAAAGCATAGGCCTATATCTTAAACATAATTCAACATCAGAATTATTATAAGTAGAATAGAATTATTTATAGACACCAGTAGACCTAAACATAATATTATTACTGTTGTTTTACCATATGTTTGAGAAAAAAACAATAATAATTGCCGACTCATATTAAGCATTATTCAAATTCATTACAGAATGGTGAGAAAATCGTGATCTTTATTTTAAGCAAAAAAAATAAATAAATTGCGATTCTCATTTTATCCAGAATCGTGCAGCTCTAACTCATACTTCACTTGTTCCACAAACCTGTTTGAGTTTCTTTCTTCTGTTAAGCGAGCAAGCTGGAAACTCATAACCGTTGAATTCAACAGTAGTTGTTTTTCCTACTGTAGATGTCAAAGGTTACAGGTTTTCAGCTTTTTTCAAAATGTATTATATTGTGTTTAACAGAAGATAGAAACTCAAAAAGATTCGGAACCACTTGGACTTTAGTTAATAGTGGGCAAATTTTTATTTTTATGTAAACAATAGGGCTGTGCGATTTAGGCAAAATATCTAATTGCGATGCTTTAAAAACTTTTTTATTTATTGATTTTTTTTTACAGATATTGAGATTGCGGTTTAATTTTGTAGTCAAGATTCAGCTTAATATTCTGTATCATAGCGTCTTACTGCAGTAAGTGTTAGTTAAAAAAAGAAACTGAAAATATATTAACTTACTACAACATTTACTGGATTAAGTGTTATTGAAAATACCATCAGTTGACTTTTTTGCAAGCCACCCCTCATATAGCCATCTGTGGTGCTTTTTAGGTGCTGGTTTTACTTCTTATGATGTAGTAACAATTCTGCGACGACTCTTAAAAATGACCTGTTTTTGTTCGATGTCTGTGACTTAAAAACCAAAATATTCTCAAATTACAGACGTGACGTTTTTACGCAGTAGATGCCCCTCCAGCCGCAACCTATCTTTGGGAAACATCCACACACACTCATTCAAACACACACACACACACATACACTACGAACAATTTAGCTCGACTGTGGGGGAAACTGGAGCACCCAGAGGAAACCCACGTGAACGCAGGGAGAACATGCAAACTCCACACAGAAATGCCAACTGAGCCGAGGCTCGAACCAGCAACCTTCTTGCTGTGAGGCGACAGCACTACCTACTGCGCCACTGCATCGCCAAATATTAATATAAACATTGATATTTGTAATAATGACACATGTAAATGTATTAACCCAATTTTGTTCTGCCTGTAAATCCAGAGAGAGCCTAGAAGTTTTAGCGTTAAGGCCATTTTACATGGAAACATGGAGTAAGTGACCTGTTTTACCCCTCTCTCAACCCCCTGCAACCTGTCTGTCTTTGTTTGCAGACAAAGAACCAAAGATGTGTCCAAACTGCGGCTCTCAGTTCCTGAATCAGACAGTGCTGGACACACACCTGCAGCGCTGCACGGGGGAGCAGACGGGACAGCGCAAATATAAAGGGCAGGGAAGAGGCAAGGTAGGAGGTCAGCTGGAGTGTGACATGTGTGGGCACCGCTGCGTGACTCAGGACGGACTGGACCTGCACCGTCTCTCCCACACGGGTCAGACACCCCTGCGGTGCCCGCTCGCCCCCTGCAGACGCCGCTTCGCCTCTAGTGCTGCTTTAGGGGAACATCTGGTCGCCCACTGCTGCGGAGCCCTGGGCAAGAGAAACGCCCCGCGCCGCTTCACCTGCGAGTTCTGCGGCAAGGAGTTTGCCTATGCCTCAACTTTCACTGTTCACATGAGGACACACACCAACGAAAGACCCTTCGAGGTATGTTTCTTGCAGGAGAGAGGGAACTCAGATGGCTCAAATAAGAGCTATTTTAACTATTCATTTGTGTTTTGCCATATAATTTTATACAAATTATATAGTGTTTCTTTATATATGGACATCAAAACATGTAGAATATAGAGAGAAAAACATCAGTGTGTGCACATCTAGGAAAACCTTAAAGAAAATCTTTGCTGGATGCAGGGGCGGACTGGGACTAAAAATCAGCCCTGGCATTGTAGCCACACCAGCCCACATTACCACACCGAAACAGCCCCACCCAAGGACACGCACATTCACTACTTATATTGGTGTACAGATGGTAAAATTATATAAGCAGTACCTATTTAAGAGATATTTAAACATTTAATGTATGTGACTGAAACAAAAACAACCCATTCATATATGCAATCATGTCATTCATTTTCTTTTCGGCTTAGTCCCTTTATTAATCTGGGTATCGCCAACTTATCTTGCATATGTTTTATACAGCGGATGCCCTAAAAGCTGCAACCCATTACTGGGTTACCCAATTCCCAATTGGCCTACCCAATTCACCTATAGCATGTGACTTGTGAAGGAAACCAGAAGGAAACCCACGCGAACATGCAAACTCCACACAGAAACACCAACTGACCCAGATGAGGCTCAAACCAGCGACTTTCTTGCTGTGAGACGACAATACTACCTACTGCGCCACTGCACTGCCCCATTTCGAGACTAGTTCAGTTAATTTTATGTATTTGGCAATGTCTGACTTGACTGCCTTTCCCTTTTTATGGTCCATCTCTGACAATTAGCTTGTGTTGCACTTACTGTTTGTTTGACATTCTTGCCAAATTTTGATTACGTCTGCGTAACCTCAGATTAGGTCGCCCATCTCGAAACCAGCCGGTTGTTGCTGATTGGGCCAATGCTTAACATTTACTATTATTCTTACTATTATCACCATCATCTTCATAATATTCAAATCTCGCACAAGATAAAAGCTGCCTACATTTAAAAGACAATACATATGAAAAAATAATGAAATAAAAAAATAGCTGACCGGCCTACATTTAAAAAATTATCCGGCCCTTCTGGCATTTGCCAGAATTGCCAGATGGCCAGTCCGCCCCTGGCTGGATGAACACAAACACAATAGAAAAAGTTAATAAAAAAAAAATCGGCACACTGTCACATTAACTCTTAAAGACAAATTTTATTGGACACTGCTTCAACCTGCAAGGTCTTCATCAGGTTACACAGGAAATGCAAAAGAACTCAATACAAGAAATATAGGCTGCATACGAAATCGCCTACTACTCAGTAGACACTTTGACCTGTTACATCCGCCATTTTGTCATCATCCTGTGATTACCCGCGTCAGTTGCGTCGCTTCACTCCCATTCATAAATTCTCACTCAGTGCATCATGGGATAGCATAGCGTCCATCCGATGCGCACTTCAGAATCTCGCCGTAAGTAGTAGGTCTCTCACATACTGTTTTTTTTTTATTCCATTTATTCGGACATACTACTCGGCTCGCATACTGTTTTTAGCCTAATATATAGTATAGAAGTATGTGATTTTATACACAGTTAGAGTCAAACTCACACCTGCAAACAATAATCACCCCAATTAACCAATAAGTACATAAATAAGAGAAATACACAAGTTTAAACAAACAAAAAATAAATAAAAAAACACACACATACATGTATACACACTATTGGTCAAAAGTTTGTGGTCAGGTTTTTTTTCTTTCATGTTTTTGTTTTAAAGAAAATGATTATAGTTTCAAAGGAAATTATTACTCTAGTCCAGGAGTCGGGAACCTTTTTTCAGCAAAGAACCATTTCTGATTTTTTTAACAAAGGCATTTTTTTAAAGAGCCATTTGGATGTGTATATACAGTTGAAGTCAGAATTATTAGCCCCCCTGTTAATTATTTCCCATGCAAATTTCTGTTTAACGGAGAGAAGATTCTTTCAACAGATTTCTAAACATAATAGTTTTAATAACTTATTTCTAATAACTGATTTATTTTATCTTTGTCATGATGACAGTAAATAATATTTTACTAGACATTTTTTTAAGACACTTCTATACAGCTTAAAGGCTTAACTAGGTTAATTAGGTTAACTAGGCAAGTTAGGGTAGTTCAGCAAGTTATTGTATAACAGGTTTGTTCTGTTGACTATTGGAAACAAAATTAGCTTAAAGTGGCTAATAATATTGACCTTAAAATGGCTTTTAAAAAATTTTACATTTCTCCTTTCTAGCCGAAATAAACTAAACAAGAGTTTCTCCAGAAGAAAAAATATTATCAGACATACTTTGAAAATTTCCTTGCTCTGTTAAACATCATTTGGGAAATAATTCAAAAATAAAAAACAAAATAAATAAATCAAAGGGGGGCTAATAATTCTGACTTTATGTGTTTGTGTGCGTGTGTGTGTGTAAAAATAAAAGATTTCAATTCAAAATTCAAACCCCTAGGAGACAAGGTATTTAATGTGTGAATATACAAAACATTTTTCATCACAACTTGCTCATGAAGTGACTTCCACAGCAAATAAAGTTTATATGTGTATCAGTGGAGAGAAATGAAGAGGAAACATTGTTGTATGAATTGAATTAGATTTGTGTAAATCTGTTATAAAACTGAGCACAAAAATATACGTTTCTTTGTTTTTTTTTTTTTTTTTTTGAGAAAATGAATTCCAAAGGAATGGAGATCTGTTTCTCATTCTAACTGCTGTTAAAACTGCTGCATTTCTCTTTTAAAACTGTACACAAACATTCTGTTGGCATCAGTTTATTCATTCATTTTCTTGTCGGCTTAGTCCCTTTATTAATCCGGGGTTGCCACAGCGGAATGCACCGCCAACTTATCTAGCAAGGTTTTACGCAGCGGATGCCCTTCCAGCCGCAACCCATCTCTGGGAAACATCCACACACACATTCACACACACACTCATACACTATGGACAATTTTAGCCTACCCAATTCACCTGTACTGCATGTCTTTGGACTGTGGGGGAAACCGAAGCACCCGGAGGAAACCCACGCGAAGGCAGGGAGAACATGCAAACTCCACACAGAAACTCCAACTGAGCCGAGGCTCGAACCAGCGACCTTCTTGCTGTGAGGCGGCAGCACTACCTACTGCGCAACTGCTTCGCCAGCATCAGTTTATTCTTAACAAATATTTTAGTTGGCGAAGAAAGTTTTGAAATAAGGCACTTTTTAAATGAAAAAGCATCTAATTATTGCAGTTTTTCATCCCAAAGATTGCTAAAAGCATGTCTTTCTATTATCCTGCTACTGCTGATAATAACACTGTTCCTCTCTCTGTGTTTCAGTGTGCTCAGTGTGGCAAGCGTTTCCGGCAGCTTCCACACTTGCAGGACCACGAGCGCATCCACAGCGGCGAGCGGCCCTTCACCTGCTGGGTGTGCGGGAAGAGCTTCAGCGTGGCGGCGAGGCTGACGGAGCACGCGCGGGTTCACAGCGGCGAGAGGCCGTACGTCTGCCCCCGCTGTCCCACCGCCTTCCGCTCACGGCCAAACCTCGACAAGCACATGCGCATTCACGCCAACGACCCCGTGGACCCCACCGCTCAGAACGTCATGGATGATGATGCCGCGGTGCAGACCATCCTCCTGGTGCAGGAGTCGGCATCGTCTTCACCCTCGTCCTCCTCGTCTGTCATGCCCGTGGTCCAGGAGGGCATGTTCGTGACAGAAGAGGGAGGTTCATCTGTGGTTTTCCTGCACCCCAATATGAGTATGCCCACCATCACTGTGCCAGCCATTTCTGTGCCCTCCATGAATATGCCCAACATCTCTGTTGTAGCAGGTCAGGATGTTCCTCACACTATTGAGGTCATCTTAGAGGAGACTGTGTGAAAATGAACATGGTGTCAAATTAATTTTTTGGTTTGCAATTTCTTTGAAAGGCAGATTTCAGGAATATGATGTTCAGACTTATAGGAACACTACTCTTTTATTTTTGGAAATAGGCTTATTTTAAGTCTCCTACTTGTAATTTGACCATTTTTTAATCCACTCAACCAATCTTCAGGTTGTGGAAGATCTTTTAGCATAGCTTAGCATCAATCATTGAATCGGATTAGACCGTTAGCATGTCATTCAAAATTTTCAAAAGTTTTGATAGTTTTCTTATATAAAGCTTGACTATTCTGTAGTTATGTTGTGTACTAGGATAGATGGACAATGAACATTTGCGATTTTCTAGGTCAATATTGCTAGGAACTACAACGTGGGCCATTTATATGGATAAACCCTAATAAAATGGGAATGGTTGGTGATATTAACATCCTGTTTGTGGCACATTAGTATATGTGAGGGGGCAAACTTTTCAAGATTGGTACTGACCATGGTGGCCATTTTGAAGTCGGCCATCTTTGATTGTTTTTTTCAATGGGAAGAGGGTCATTTGACACATTAAACTTATTGAGAATTTCACACGAAAAACAATGATGTGCTTGATTTTACCGTAACTTTATTCTTTCATGAGTTATTTACAAGTTTCTGACCACTTATAAAATGTGTTTAATGTGCTGCTCATTGTGTTGGATTGTCAATGCAACCCTCTTTTCCCACTCTTTAAACACTGATAGCAACAGCGCAGGAGAAATGCCAGCACAGGCTTCCAGTATCCATAGTTTCAGGTGCTGCATATCTTGCATCTTCACACCATAGACAATTGCCTTCAGATGACCCCTAGGATAAAAGTCTAATGGGGTCAGATCGGGAGACTCTGGGGGCCATTCAACTGGCCCACGATGACCAATTCACTTTTCATCTAGGAATGCTCAGACCTGACACCCAAAATGTGGTGGAGAACCATCTTGCTGGAAAAATTTCAGTGCATAAATAGGGAAACACATCATCTTGTAGCAATTTCAATTATCCAGTAGCCTTGAGTTTTCCATTGATGAGGAATGGCCCCACTATCTATGTTGTCTATGGTGTGAAGATACAAGATGTCCAACACCTGAAATTACGGATACTGGAAGCCTGTGCTGGCATTTCTCCTGCGCTGTTGCTATTAGTGCGTGAAGAGTGGGAGAAAAGGGTTCTCCAACACAATGGGCAGTACTTTGAACACATTTTTTAAGAGGTCAGAAACTTGTAAATAACTCATGAAAGAAAAGTTACATTGAAACCAAGCACACCGTTGTTTTTCTTGAGAAACTCCCAATAAGTTTGATGTGTCAAATGACCGTCTTCCTATTAAAAAACAAAAGTTGGATCCAAGATGGCCGACTTCAAAATGCCCACATCCATCTTAAAAAGTTTGCCCCCTCACAAATACTAATGTGCCACAAACAGGACGTTAATATCACCAACCATTCCCATTTTATTAAGGTGTATCCATGTAAATGGCCCACCCTGTATGCTGTCATTCTTGCGTAATAAGCATAATTTTTTTTTTTATGATTTGGTTTTATTGATTTTTCTTGTTTCAAATAATGCACATGAATATCGAATAAAGAGCATTGAAATAAAAGCAGAGCAATACAAAATAAAGAAATAACATCATATAAATTGAGTAAGTAAACCAAACCAAAACACATACAAGGAAAAACAAAAAGAAGAACCTTCATAATTATTTTGTCTCGTTACATGCTTGGTAACAGTCAGCGTAATTATTAATGTCGCATAATTAATAAGCGTTATTATTATTCTGTCGTACCATGGCTGCAGCAGATGCAATGATATAACTCTACACTTGAAAAGAGTCCCCATTTAGGTAACAAGGTAACACTGCAGTGTAATATCATTACCCCTGGTTTAGGTATGGTATGGCAGCAAAGTTCCCTGATCATTACGCCAGAATAAGAGTCCTTCCTAGAGAGAAAATAGCAGTTTTTCTGTCATTCCTAGAACCCGATGTAACTCCAGAAGTCCAACTTTAAACTCAAACTTTCATTTTTACATTTTTTTGAGGGATGCTAATGGTCCAATCTGATTTAATGATTTATGCTAAGCTAAGCTAAAATTGCTCCCGCCAGACTTGTAGATCAGCTGGATGGATTCAATATTGAAACTCTCTATTGGAGTTGTAAAATGAGCCTGTTTGCAAAAAAAAGTGGAGTGTTTCTTTAAAAGGATGGTTCTCACAAAGAAAAAAAATTGTTATTTTTTACTCTCTCTCTCTCTCAAGTGATTCCAAACCTGTTAAAGATTCATTTCATTTTAAGATATTTTGATGTTGGTAGCCTTGACTTCCATATTTGTTTCTAGAGTGGATGTCAGTGGCTTCCAACATTCTTCAGAAAATGTTTGGAAGGGCTTGAGTGTGAGTAAACGGCAAGTACATTATAATTTTTGGGTGAACTATCCCTTTAAGAAAAGTGTATTTATATTTGTGGATTTGTGAAAGGCGCTTCTTTGACTAGGATATCTTTTGCTTTTGTGATTTAGGAATATCCACAACTCAGCACCTTTATCCTGGAGAAAATAAAACAATACTGGTTTTGCATTAAAAATTGACACTATAATTACATCAGTCGTCTTTTAATTTGGGTGTTTTATCTGCCTTTAATGCAGAAAGCGGACCAGAGTTTGTGGTGTTTCGTTTTAATAAAATGAGCTTGAGCTACTTGAGGTCTGTCGCATTTTCATTTCATGATACTTTGACTTCAGCATTCTGGAATACAGTCGCTGAGGGAGTAAAAGTGTTCATGTCAACTCTCTGATGACTGCGCATGAAGCTTTGGCCACTCAGGGAAAAAAATTGCTGATCATTTTGAATGAATTAAAGGTGCCATGTCAGAAAATTTTAATAATTGACACCAAGATTATTACACTAGATTTCTTTTGCACACATACAAACACTTTACATTTAGAGTTATATAATAAGATGACAATTCATTTCATGCTTAATATACTCAAGTTATTCAATTAAAATGTACCCTCTGTTATAGCCCCAGGACCCAATGTGTTCTTTCTTTGGTCCTGCAAACAACTATTTAAAAAAAAACACTAAGTAAACAATATTAATTATTATTATTATTATTATTATTTGATTATTATTATTATTATTTAGGCTCTGAATCAATCATGTAAACCAGGTGCTGCTCTGAAATGGTTGTCTTTGCTCAGCAACAGGTGCACAGCAGCAAGAGGTTTGGCAGTGATCTATTGGCTTATTAATAATATTTTTAATTTCTTTTTGGCTTAGTCCCTTTATATTATTGTTATTATGATTATTATTTTTAATCTATGCGCCTATTATTTTGAGGATGACGTCACAAGCTCAGATTTGGTGGACCAATCAGAGGAAAAAGGGGCATTTCAGCACCGCCTACATGTGTATAATGAATTTTAAAATCGTTTATCCATTTTCCTACCCTAAAACGAAAATTGAGCCAACAAGTTTTCTTTTTTGTTTGGACCGATATGGAACAGGCGGAAGATACCCTGATTATGTTATAGCTACTGCTTCAGATTTTTAGATATAGATTTTCTCAATACTCCTGTCTCATGCCTCTTCATGTCATGGTTTGTTTTACCATTGAAGGCCTTTGTGGTCATTTCCAACTCTCAATCATTTTGCAGATATGGAGGAAGACATTTGGAGGAAGAGGCGGCTGAAGTTCTAGTCAGGTTACCTACATCACCTTGAAACACTTGTGCATTTTCACCTCTGAAGGGATCACAAATTAAGTAATTAATATTTCTTTTTACAAACGCGGAAGCAAATAGTCAAACTTTTTTTTTCTTGCAATGATTAGTTGGTTACTTTTAACAAGGTGCGCTAGCAAAAAACACAGACTTTAAAACAGAATAGAGACAAACAAGTGGTCATACGGACATGAGTCACGCTAGACTTATTAAACTAAAAAGTTAAATAAACTTAATATTAAATAAATTTTTTAATTAATATTAAAATAACTGTTTTGCATAAAAAAACATATGTAATATTTCTACAGTTGGCTTTTGTTACACCACTATATAATATAGAAAAAATGTGTTAACATGTAGATTGCGTTAACTTGTAAGTTACATGCTAACATGTAACAACATGTATACGTTTTTTTTTTTTTTTGCATATATTTTGGCCCCAATGGCCTTCCATAGTCATACGGACATTTTTATTATTTTTTTTAAACATGTGGCCAGGCTAGACTTATCCGCTTGTTAAGTGTGACGTCACACAAAGCGGCTTCCGGGTCCAAGCGCTCTATTCAACTGAATGGGGAGACTCATGAAATGGTAATAATAAACGTTTACAAAGCGATTTAATGCTTTCGAAAATCATGATCGCAGTATATATGTCCATGCCTAATATCCGATGGCCAGAAAGTGATTAATTTTTTTATAAATTGTTAAATTTTTAGTATTTGTTATGCAGCAAGCCCAGAGATTGTTGTGTACACTATGATTTTATATAAAATTAACTGTAATGTGTGATAGGAATAAAACGTGATCATAAACGAATGATTTCTTCACTCAAATGAATGGCGGCTTGGACCCGGAAACAGTATTACATATGTCACAAATACGTCACCACTTAACAAGTGGATTAAACAACAGGTGTGTTCGACTTCGTGCAGTGCTGTGCAGATCGATCGAAATCTTTCTGAAAGCAGTGCATGCTGGTTAGAAATTTTGTCCGGATTGACGCTGTGCCGACGCCACGTGACTGTCACATGTGGGATCAAAGTACACTGCATGACAACAATTAGGTTTTTTCAGGTTTATTAATGGACAAATTCCGATTTAAAAGTTTCAAAACAAACAATTCACTGTTTATACCAACTCTATCTTGTAGAAAACCGATCCTGATTGGTTCTCGTGCGTGCATTAAAAATGCTGATTGGCTCACAGAACCTTATAGAGCCAAGCTAGAGTTCGACTTTGTAGATACACCTTTTTTGTTTTTTAAATAAAAAGTCTTAAAATGTAAACAACTTATAAAAACACATCACACAATGTAAATAAGTTGTCATTTAATAAGAATATGTCAATAACTCAATTTTGACAAAAATGTCAGATAGAACCTTATAATTCTAAGGTGACGAAATGTAAATAAACACAAACCCCCTTTTAGCATAATCAAACAAGAAGTATTAGCCTAAATAGTGATGTTTAAACTTCTAGAATTTTTGCTTATTGCTTTGTATTTTAATAGGCCTATTAATTTTTGTTTATACTACCGTCTCGTTTCCCCTTATTTCTCTCATTTGTTTGTTATAAATTTAATTCATAATTCCCTTATTGTTTAAAAATGAACTATAGTTTGTAGAGA